CAGGAATGGGAGTGTGTTTCTACTCTCTTTCTCCATTGTGAACTGTATCGAAGGTCTTATTGAGTTCACATGGTCCAGTAGAACCTGAACATCTTCCTGGTGTGGCCAGAGTATGAAGGTGTCATCTATGTACCTTAACCATATAGTTGGCTTTAGAGATATAGATTCTAATATCGTTTCCTCAAAGTATTCCATGTATATATTCGCCATTGCTGGTGATAATGGCGAGCCCATTGCTAGGCTATCATCCTGTCGATATGTGTGATCCATTTCCGAAGTGTGTTGTTTGTGTACAGAAAGTCAACATCTCCATCAGATTATCTATTGGAATACTGGTCCGTTCTTCTAGGGAAGAGTCAGAGGCCAATCTGTCTCTGACTACTGAGAGTGCCTCCTCCGTGGGTACCTTGGTGAACAAACTCACCACATCCAAGCTGGTTGGATAGGATGGGAACATCTTTGATTATTTCCACGAAGTGGGTGAAGTTTCGGACATATGAAGGAAACTTTCCGATCAATGTGTCAATTATATCTAGAAGGAAGTGACTCAGAGGGTGGCACACACAGCCTTGGCACCTAACAATCGGCCTGAGCAGAATACCGTCTTTGTGAATCTTAGGGAGACCGTATATGTGAGGTAGCTTGGTGTAATGCTGCGATAACTGCCTATACGCCTTCGGTGCGAAGTAATCCCCCTTCTTGATTAGTTTGTTACAGTTTGCGTTCCATTTTCATTGTAGCATCCTTTTATACTTTGCTGTAGATACCATTGCTAATGAGGTCTTTCAGCTTTCTTGTATAATCTGATTTGTCCATCACTACAGTCACATTGCCTTTGTCAGCCAGTAGTATGTTTTTTTTCCTCTGTAGGGATCCAATCACCAGCCTCTCTAGTTTTGTGATGTTTGACCTGGGCAACTTGGCCTTCTCCAAGGTCTGTCTCACCTTCCATCTCAGTTCATCTGCCTGAGCCTGAGTGAAGTTCAGAAAAATATGAGACAATGTTTACAGAAAACTGCTATTTCATTTCTTTGATTTAATAAATTTTTCTTTTTCAGAAATTTAATTATATCGAGCCTTTTATGTAGGCACAAAAGATATGGGTCATTTAATGATCAACAGGTTTTTTTTTATCAGTTTCCATTTTACTGTAATTGTTTCATCATTAAGGTACCATGTCCACCTTGGAGAGTAATGTTTTTTTGTAAAATTTTTCCAAATCAAAGGATGACAAATGTTTCCACACTTTAAGAAATGGAATAGACCAATCTCTCTGCCATCATGTCCCATTCAAACTGATAATTCACATTGCCTTGCGCAATGTAAAGTGGCACCACCTATCATTACATATCCTATGATTTTTGGCACATCTGTGTAATGATGGAAAATACACATATACAGTTAAGAATTCAGGGGAAAATTCATGCATCAAATCACAAGAATACATAAAGTTTAAAATTGTTTTATTCAACTTTTATACATCGAAGAATATTACAGAGTTTCAAGTGGTTGACAGGTTTCATTCAGAAATATTATTCCACTCAAGTATTTTAATTCTTTACTATGAAAACATTCCTGTTATGGTATTCATTTCAGCAAATATGGATAAATCTGCCCACAATAAGACAGTGTCAAAAGGATAGTTTTTCTCATGACACATTTTTTTTTTTTTTAAACTATCTACAGTCTTTGGCAATATTTGTTTTAAAAAAGCAATGATTAGAATTGAAATAAAACCTAAACATGAAAGTGAATTTATACATTTTCTTTGTTCTTGAGAATTGACAACAAAAATAATAAACACTAATTATTAGATTATTTACACTATTTATTCATTATTTAGTGGAATGGTTGGCAAAACAACAGCTAATTGCCAATTGATTCAAACTTTATAAAATGGTAATAAGGATTTCCTTATAGTTGGTTTACATATTTTAATAATTTAGTAAATGTTTATAAATTTATGAATAAGAAAAAAAAAAAAAAAAATTTCATATTTATTTCTTTATAAATTGGTAACTAATAAATATTGCATTAGTTCTAAATGTATTAGTTTTTTTTAGAATGTTGTAAATGTATAATTATTCTTGTGAATAAACAATCTAATAACGTTTAATATTTTTCTTGCAAATTCTTAACAAAAATGTATAAATTCACTTTCATAAGTTTAAGTTTTATTTTAATTCTAACCATCACTTTTTCAAACAAACATTTCTGAAGAGTGAATGTAGTTAAAAAGCAGCATGATGGGAAAAAAAAAAAAAAAAAAATCCTTTTGACACTTCGTCTTATTGCAGGCATATTTATCCATGTTTGACCCCATTTCTTTGTTACTTTTTAAAGCCCTATTGAATCAGTTAATATGATATGAACAAATAAAAGATAAGAATGTAAATTGCATATAGCATTAGTGAAATTATTCATACTAGCAATACACATGAACATTTCAGTTTCCCTATTGTAAATTTTTTCTGATGAATTTTAATTCTGAAGCTGATGAATGAACAAGTTTTTTGCAAGTTCCACAATTATAAATTCCCCTATTGCCTCATTAAATATTTGAGCTGAACAATTTTAACAAAATATTACAATAACAATTATAATTATGAAGGCATGTCATTAAAGAAGTAAGAGGGTACAAATGAAAAGATTAAAAATTGACAAGTTTTTTTCATTTCACTGAAGCAGACATTAAACACATGTAAGCATTATTGCCACCTTTATCTTCTTTCTCTCTTTTTGTTCTCTTTCCTTTCTTAAAACCAAACAGCAACTTTGATACATTTTTTCTTCCATTTTGTGGGGAGGGGACAGGCAAGCTATAACAAGTCTATCCTTGCAATCCAACAGGTAATGGTAGGGTATAACTAAGGAACAAGCAGAATTATAATTATTTTTTTCTCTTAAGGGTAAATTTAAAAAGAAGTTTAAAAAGATAAAAGTTATGTGAATATTTCAAAGGATAATTTTTTTAAAATTTGAAATGAATTCATTTCTTATCATTGAAACAAAAAAAACAAAAAACAAAAAAAAACGTTATGATGCCTAAAATGTCAAGAGAGGTAATTGATATCTAGTACTGTAAAAATAAAAAAAAAATATCTAAATTTATATTTTATGAAGAGTTAAAAGTTTAATTTCTTTACTAACTAAAAAGAATGACATTGTTTCCTTTTGAAAAGCAATCAAATTAACAACTATATCATTTCAGTTCTTGAAACCCAATACAAATGAACAAAAAAATATCCTACATGATTTCAAAATGTTAGAAAGAATAGAATTTCAAGATGATTTTATAAGCAGTCACATGAGTGAATCTGTAATCCAACATTACTGCATGAACAATTACTTGATTCTCTACTTAGCAATAAATTCTTCTCTCTCAGCAAAGAACAAATAAATACACTAATAATTTACTCAGCAAAGTTTGCTTGACATAAACTTGGAAAAAAAAAAAAAAAAAAAATGAAAACATGAATGCAGATAAAAATTTAATAAATTAATTGGATTTTGTTTAGCGCTATATCAACCTCTATGGGTTATTTAATGCCAAAATGTAAATATTTTGTATGAAATTTTATTTTACTTTTTGGAGAAAACACTTTAGTGATACAAGTCTTACTAATTAACCTATAGCTGAAGGAAGAAGAGATGGATTCATATCCTTCTCAAGGGTAACAGCACGAAAGGGAATATAATGACTCCAATTGGAACTCAGCTCTATGATTAACAATTCATTATCCGGAACCAACTTTCCTAGCAGGAGACATGGCAATTGATTCCTACTCAGCAGTTTCATTTGCATCTGTTTACATTTCTGAGTATTGTAACTATTTATATTGTTTGGACTGTTGTCCTCATCTTTATTGCCACATTCATAACGTTTTGGTCATTGCATGCTCCGGTGTTCTTCAGGTGAGATCTGTTGGAATTTCAAACTGAGCCCTTTATTTAGTCAACGGGGGTAGAGTGTTCTAATTTCACATGTGATATCTGCTTTTTTTCAGTTAATCACTCTTGATAACTCAACTCCCCAAGTTTTAGTTTTGTCTGCAGTGGCCAGGTATTGAACTCACAATTCGAGTCACTTTTTGAATCAATCAACCAATGCTTTTATCCACTGTGCCATGTGTTCTTGAATGTGATCCAAAAAGTGATTTGACCCAAAGAGTTTTGAGTTCAATCCCTGGCCACAGTAGAGAGAACAAAAAAAAACTGAGATATCCAAAGGCATGTAGGATTAGAACAATTTACCCTGATGGTCTAAATAAGGGATTCAGTTCAAAATATCACCTGTAGAAGACCGGAGTGCACAACGGCCAGAATGTTGGGAATATGGCAATAAAAGTGAAGACAACAGTGTTGACAATTTAAATAGTTTCATTTGCTCATTCTTCTTTCAGAAGGAAGAAAATAGCTACCATTACCACCCATGAAAAAATATCTAACATTTATAAAAGTAAAAGTAAGAGAAATTGAAAAATAAATCAACACTGATGGAGGGAATGTTGGAAACAGAAACATCACAGGTCAGAGAAGCAGTAGAAAAGATTTTTAAAAATAGTATTACTGGACAAAGTAGTTGGCTTTTTCAGTTAAGGGAAAATTTTGTCAGTTTTTTTTTTTGTATCCTAAAGCCATCAAATTTTATATTTATAGTTTCTACATAAAACATATAGTTAAAAAAAACTTCAGATTTCATATTAGTCCTGAAAAAGATTGATTCATTTTTCATGGCTTATCAACCCTTTACAGGTTATTTAAAAGCCAGAGAATATTTTTAGATTGTGCGATTTTTTTTTTTTTTTTTTTTGTTGAGATAATTAGTAAGACTTGTATCACTAAACACTTAACCCATAGCTGAGGAAGTGGGCAAAGAGGCAGATTCATACCTTTCTCAAGGGTATTTTCATATAAGTGAACATAACGAACCGAACTGGAATTGAAACTTGGCTCTCCAATTAACCATTCTAAGCCATTACACCACCTGCACATCCAAGCTTACAGTACCTGGTATTTCCAAGCGGTTATCCATCTAAGTACTAACCGAGCTTGACATTGTTTAACTTCAGTGATTGTACAGGAACTAGTGTTTCAATGAGATATTGCCATAAGCCTCGAGAAGAAGAGTTAATATTTTAAAAACCACTAAACTAAGGAGTCTTATAACAGTAACTTTGAGATACCTGAGGTAGTACTTTTCCATCTCTACTGTGTAACTGAGGCAATATTATCTCTTAAAACTGTCCTTGATCCATTGAAGACTGTGATTAACACGTGTGAACATTTCGTTTTTTTTCAACCAAAGTGGTATATATGTTAGGAAAAAAGATTTGTAGAGACCTGTGAAATGTCTTTATAAATATAGTGTATGAAAATAAGTAACGGCAGACTTTAATACATTATTTTCTGATTGTAGGAGTCATTTCATAAAAAAAAGATTGTTATATGCTTTCATATACAAAGGAGTATACTCACTTTGTTATAATGACAATATTCCAACCACTGTACTCTCTGGCCATTTCAAGGTGTCTGCCCATACTCAATAACCTTGTTGGAAATTTTAATCAACCTATTTAGTTTCTTTACATATATGTATTAATAAATAGGAAATTAATGAAAAGTCAGACCATCACACTTTACAAGAATATGGCTTCCCTCCAGTGTGTGTTTGTATGTGTATTTTTAGAGTTGAACTTCGTGAAAATGCTGAGCCACACACTTCACATAAATAAGGTTTCTCACCAGTGTGTGTTCGCATGTGACTTTTTAAAGCTGAACTCTGTGAAAATGCTGATTCACATACTTCACAAGTATATGGTTTCTCACCGGTGTGTGTTCTCATGTGCTTTTTAAAATCTGAGCTCTGTGAAAATGCTGAGCCACACACTTCACAAGCATGTGGTTTTTCCCCAGTGTGTGTTTGTATGTGTATTTTTAAATTAGAACTACGAGAAAATGCCAGTCCACATACTTCACAAAAGTATGGTTTTTCTCCAGTGTGTATTCTCAGATGTCTTTTTAAAGTTGAATTCTGTGAAAATGCCAAGCCACAAACTTCACATGTATATGGTTTCTCTCCAGTGTGTATTCTCAAGTGTCTTTTTAAATGGGAATTGAGTGAAAATGCAGATCCACATACTTGACAAGAATATGGTTTCTCTCTAGTGCGTGTTCGAATGTGCGTTTTAAAAGTTGAACTCCATGGAAATGCATATCCACACAGCTTATGAGGTAATGGTTTCTCACCAATGTCTTTTTCCTCATGTATCTTTAAATGAGAACTTCTTTCAACTGACATTTTGGTACACTGTTTACAAATACAGTTGATCTTTTGTGTGTTTTGCTGATAACCCATAAACTCTCAAAAATGCAAATCAGTACATTTTCACAAAAATTTTCTCCAGTTGATATTTTCAAATTTTTATCCTCTGAACATTCATTTCACAAATTCAGAAATATCCCTTTTATAGTCAACATTGAATGGTGATTACACTTTTTCTATACAATACTTACATATGTCCATTTTGAAGAGTTCATTTTTTTTCATCACTACAATTGATATCTGTGAATGAAGAAAACATTATTAAATAATACATTTATGCATTATTTGCAATTAGAAATTTAAATTCACTTATTTTCAAATTCAATAGAGTCAAGTGCATTTTATTATTGATATTTACTTAGAAGTTATAGAGAGAAGATCATGAAAATTGCACAACTAATACGGAGAACAATTCTTAAGATATATTAATGAACTCATTGTAAAAGTTATATCAACAATGTGTAAAAAATATACTTTCCTGTATGTCACAGAGTGGAAGTCAAATGTTTTTGAAAGAATATTTAAAGAGACTGCCAATATCTAAATATATATCTTGCTGTATTGTATAAGGTGAAAATTGAGGTATTTTAGAATATTTTAAGAGTGTCTGATAATATGCAAAAAACACATGTGGATTGCTGGCCAATCCATTTCTTAAAATCTGATAAAATGATAAAACAGGTTTTTTTTTCTTTTATTGAGTTCACCCTATGCAAGGTAGTAAAGCCACTAAGACACAAGGGGGTTACTGGATGTGGAAGAGTTAGAAACAGAAACATTGTTAAGGAGTCAAAACAAAAGAATAATCAGAAGGACAATAGATAGCGATTGACATTGCATTTAAACTTTTGAAAATTAAAGTTGGCTGGAATATATAGAATCGAAAGGGAGTTCCACAAGTGAGACGTGCGAGAAAAGTAACTGTTAGCATAGAATTTATGGTTACATTTAGCCAACTCAACTCTAAATTTATGAGATCTCATCTGAACAATTACTATGAAAGTATTTATAGAAAAGACACAGAGAGGCAACCTTACAGCAGTAAGAAAGTGACTGAAGTCAAGATGCCAGATCCGGGTCATTAATATTGCTGGTTCTTCTTTGCATTTTATCAAGGAGCTCTAAATAAATAGCAAGAGCACTGGACCATATGTGGCAGCAATATTCTAAGCATGGACAAATGTTAGACTTATAGTTATGTAGGATAGATTCTGGAGAGAAAAATTGTCTAGTACAACACAGTGAACCAACTTTCTTAGTAACTGACCTACAAATGGAATTTTCTTTTTAGAAGGGCTTACTGGCCAGGCCAAGAACTTTTCAGTATATAGCTTCCTGCAGTGATGGGATTCAAGGTTACAATGGCTCACATGAATTGTTTACTAGAACTACAAAATTTACAGAGCTGGCTCTTACAATTCATTGGCAAGGCTTGAATTAACATCATCCTGGCTATTATAAAACATTAGTTACTGGTTAGGATTTTTCAGACAATGTTGGGCCAATACAAAATTTTGAATTATTTAAAATTCTATTAATTCTAAAAGCAACTAATTTCCTAAAATAAAAAGATTCTTACTTCTCAACAATAGTAGCAGGTTTTAAAGGTTTTAAGGCACAGACAAAAAACAAAAGTGCTTCTTTTTAAACTAGTGAACAAAACCCAAATTAAAAGATGACTGAAGGACTTAAATTTAGATATTTGTATTATTTATCCCTGAATGTGAAAACATTGTAAGAAATAATTCTGCTTTAAAAAAAGAAAAAAAAAAAAAAGGAAAATAAATTTTTAGCAATTTTTAGTTAAAAACCTTGAATGAATTGTTAACATACAACACTTGTGCGTTACGTTTTCTGCTTATCATGACCTAAATTGAAAATACAAGGGATAATTTTAACAAAAATATGGAAAATTTAGACATGATGCGATGTAGATAATTGTAAATGAAAATGTTTTGATAAAGAGTAAAATCTTTTTTGATTGTGAAAAGTTGAAATCCACTAATATTCTTTATATAAAAAATGATGGAAGAGAATTCTTAAAATTACCAGGAACATGAAATTTAATAAGATTTTCATACGAAATGAATGTTATTCAACCTAAATATCTGAATAAAAATGAAATTGTGATTTTTATAAAAATTACAGTAAAATGTACCTAATTTGTTTTTGCATTTATTCATGTTTAAAACTTTAATATATTAGCTTTTTTTAATTTATTTCCTAATCATTTTAATGGTGTTTTATTATAACAACAACTATTAATAATACTATACTATCAGCTCAATTCTAACCAACCTCCATCTGTAATCAAACATATACCCTCATCTACAGAATGTACGATTAGCAACAATTCATCTAACAAAGATGTGTTTGATAAATACAACAGTGTTTATTTATAATACTCCTTTAAAAATAGTGGTTACAAGTATACTGAAATCAAGTATAGTTTATATGAAAATATTGATTTTAGGAAAAGAAAAAGAAAATTTGGTACACACTCCCATTTAACCAATTGGTCAGTACTACATTAAGCCAGAAGTTCCATGTAATTGAAAATTATTTCCCTAAAAGTAACTCTCTTAATACAATATTTAACAGAAACACACTAAAACTAAGTTATAACTGCACCAATAATCTTGAGAATATTATAAATAAACACAATAATAAAATTTTAAACCAGTTTAAAAATCTGGATAATAATGCACATTCCAAGAGAGATACTGTTAATAATATTAACCAATATAATTGCAAGAATTCTAAGAAATGCCCATTATGAAATCAATGTTTAACCAACTCTTGTTTATCTAAGAATCTGACTGTTGAAAAATTTATATTGGTAGTACTAAGAATTCATTTAAGACTAGGTGGTATCAACATATCTTTCACCAATAGTACTTATAAAAATAGTACATCTCTTTCTAAATATTTTTAGAATTTAAAAGCTAATAAATGGAAAATTTTAAAAACAGCTAGAACATGTAGATCTTTAAATGAACCCTGTTTTCTATGCTTACATGAAAAATTAGAAATTAACAGATTTCTCCTTATTAAACCAAAACAGTGAATTGACTGTAAAGTGTAAGCTTAGTCTACCTTTTACCATACAATATGTTTAAACTTTGCATGTGATAATACTTTTTCTTAAAGCAATAATCAGTAGATGAACTGTGGGGGCACCTTGTTACTATTTTTAAGATTCATTTTGATTTAATATAGCATTGTATTTATATTTAGTTAGTATTATTAACATCTTACATGAATGCTCTTTACTTAATGGTTGCATATTAATTTATCAAAGCAGTTTTGTATTTATGATCTTTTTTTTTCTCAAATGGTTAAATTGCCTATGTGTTTCTTTTATTTATCAACTACAAAATTTTATGTAAAAAGCTGAATGAGAAAATAATTGGTTAGCATTATGTTAAATTACCTCCCCACCTCATTCGCTTTTACTTATTAGGAAAGTTGAAGGCCAAACTTCTATACATCTTATGAAATATTGTAACCACTTGTATCTTTCCATAAGGAAATGGTCTGGAATTTGTATGCAGGCAATTTTGTGTCATGATCTATATTTAAAATTTTTTTTCGGTGAGTTTGAATTTAGCGTATGTCACATTCAATTGGTTAATCACAGTAAACACCACAGACCTATTTTATTGTTTTTTTTTTTCTCGAAATAAGAGGAAGTATTCTGCTTTTGAAATTAATTGTTCACTTGTTAGTAGTTTAACATCACCCAAGGAGACACATTTGTAGTGCCAAAACATAGTTGTAATTGTG